TATTTTATTTTATTATTTATTTTCGATGCCCTATACCTTCAGGACATAGGTGATTATGACTCTACACAGCTTCCTTTTTGTTTAATTAATGTGAGTTGTCATAACTCTTTCTGAGCTTTGATGAAGGAGTTTCCCTTGTGCATTATCCCTTTTGAATTCAGAGATGTCTTACACCCAAGGCTATAAAGCTGTAGGCGGGAGCAGTAGACATAGACTGCTAATTATTCTTACTCTCCTAGTCTGAATTTCTGCATTTATTTTTGTTATCTGTCTACATGTTATGCCTCTTTCCATAATTAATTTCTTTTTTCTGATATCTACTTATAGGTTTTATTGTTTTATAGTTTGAATTAAAATATAAGCACCTGACATATTTGAAGTGATCATCTTTTATGAGTTTACTGGCTCATATCTGACTGAAAACGTTATTCACCCAATTTTGTACAGACTGCTTCTATTGCTTTTGTCCTTAGTTTAAATTGATGCAGTCAACCACAATCGAGATTATATCATTCTCTACTGTATTAAATGATGTATGTAGATTGTTCTTATTTAAAAAGTTTAACTTAATTTGGCACAAAGTCACAGAAAATGGGCACTCTGTGAGGCCTGAAGTCATTAGTCAGAAATAAGGATCAGCTAGAATAGAAACCAATGTCCCATCACGATGCAAACTGGGTTGGTTTTATATAGCTAAATTTGTTTGAAGGACCTGTCGCTTAGCGTTTAAGCTTGATGATAAAAGCGAATATTGATAGCAAAAGGAATACCTTGGGACGAAATCATTCATTCTTATTTTTAATTCACAAATTTTATTTTTCTCTTATATTGCATTCATATTTGTGGACCAAATTTATTTTAATTCTTCATTTAATATGCATTTTTACATTTGTATTTATAGGATAACAATTTACATTATTTACATAAATTTACAATCGGACTTCTGTGTGCTGTGTTCTATAAGGATGTGGGTTGGGGTCCTGACAGGTGACATGGGAAAATAGCAATTAAGAGTTGGTTGCAAACACTTTCCGATCAGACGGAGATATTCTTATATTTTCTGTGTCCTTTCAAGACGGGGGCAATCTTAGCTCTTCACAAATTCCTATATTTGTACCGTCCTGGGTATGACGATAAACTACATCCGAGTCCTGGGTAAGACGATAAACTACATCAAGTAGCAAGGCCTCTGATCAGGAGCTTTTGAGGATTCAAAACTACCTCTTAATTGCTGGTCTTCCCAGGTCCACCGTGAACGGGGTGGTAGCCCTTGTTAGGGTCCCATCTATGGGCAAGTAGTTAACACTCAGACTATATCCGTGTCCTAAGTATAACGATAAACTACATCCGCTTCCTGGGAATGACGTTAAACTACGTCCAGCAACAAGGCCTCTGATATGTTTTTGAAAAAATAATGTTGCTAGCTATACGTTTTTGAAAAAAATAATGGTTCCTCTTATACGTTTTTGAAAAAAATATTACCAGCTATACGTTTCTGAAAAAGAAATAATAAACTTGTGTAAAAATTAGGTTTTAATACCAGAGATACTCTGTAATAAAAAATTATTACCAGCAATAATTTTTAAAGGAAAAATTATTATCAGCAATATTTTTTTTTAAATACCAGTAATACAAACAGCTATACATTCTTTGAAAAAAAAATATGACCAGCTACAGATTTCTTCAAGGAAAGATATACCCAGAAATAAATTTTTGAAGAAAAACATTATCAGCAATAACAATTTTGTCGGCATTAAATAACCCATTGAGGAGTTGATATGCCGTAAAACAAAACCAACCAAACCAAACCAATCCTATATTTGTATATCTTACCAATGTTTGACTTTTTATTATCCCCCCACTCAGCTATTTTATTATTCCTCTATTTCACATGTCCTTTCGGGACGTGGACGGTCATAATTCTCCATAGCTTCCTACCCGTTGTAGTTCGTAGCAACATCTATCCCTTTCCATCACTCTCACCACCCGTTTTACCATCCCACTTGTTCTGCTATCACTTTACAAAATCTCATTACGTAGATTATTAGCAGTTTTCCTTTGTCCATCTCTCTTTCGATATGTCCTGTGAGTGCTTTCGGCCATATCACTTTGAAACACCTTTTCCCATACTTAAGCAGTGTTGAGCCTGGGCAATATCTAGATGGGTGATAGTTTGTGAATACCAGGTACTCTAAGCTTTGATGCGGGTCGTGTAATGGATAATGGTTCGATATTGTTAATCGGCAAACCGTGCTCCAATTCCCTTTTCGGTTCGTTATATTAACTTACGGGCAAATATACTTGGGAAAGACATGAATCCACCTCTTCTCCCCAGCTATGGGTTAATTAGTAAGACTAGTATCATTAAACCATTATTAACCACCCACAACCTTACACTATATTCTGGCTTTAAATAACACTCGAAAGTTTGATAAGTCTTAGAAAATAAATCAATCAATTCATCAGTGTCCTGTCAATGACAATTTTTTCAATCCTCTTTTACTTTTGTTATTATTTAACGAAGAAGTTTTAGGGAATATTAAGTCTCGCCTGTTGTGATATCCATTCATTCTCGGACAACTTTCGATCGTGTATTTTGTGGAATAATAATTGGGTGTGCAATCCATGGTTTGGTGAGCATAGATTCAATCTTAATAGAAACAGAGGCACCAATAATACCAGAATTGAAATAAGAATTCATTTAAGAATCTGGGCGTTAGCAATGTTCTTGATGGTACAAAAGAGGGCATACGATTTAAATTCAGAGATATGAATATTGGTACAAGTATTAGTGATGCCAACATTGTTAAGCTCTGAAAATTCTTTATTCAAAAAACGATTTTGACCGATAAAACATATAGAAACACACGAGCTAGCTTAAATGTCTTCCGATAGGACGGATTTTGAGCTAGTATGTATGGATGGATGGATCTCTCTCTCTATCTCTCTCTCTCTATCTATCTCTCTCTCTCTCTCTCTCTCTCTCTCTCTCTCTATATATATATATATATATATATATATTTAGTTGGATAGATGTGAGTTTGAGACGATCGCTAAAGCGTGAAACCCAGGGTCACAAACTCACATCTATCCAACCAAATATGTAAGCTCTATCTCTGATATTGAGCGCTTTCTAATAATTACCGCGCATATAATGTATAAATAATTATACATATATATATTTATTTATATTTATATACACTTTTCACACACACACACACACACACACACACACACACACACACACACACACACACACACATATATATATATATATATATATATATATATATATATATATATATATATATATATATATATATATATATAATGATAGAAATTAGGAGGATTTGAGATAATCATAACACATATTCCGTGGTGGAACCCATCCGAGTTACTCTTTTACTCATAGGACAGTGCCCCCACGAGCCACGACTACTATCCCAAGCCGCTCAGTCTTGAGGATTAGAAGCCGGTTTAAGCAACGATATACAACTGATAGAATTTAGGAGAATTTGAGATAATCATAATTAAGTAATTTATCGAGTCTAGAAGGAACCTCAACATATGTGATCGAGCGGCGCTATATCGAGTCTAATTCTCTATATCTTCGTCACCGAGAACAGTTGGTACAGTTGGTATGACGTTTGCCTGATAACGTAACTGTCCGGGTTTCAGTTCTCGGTAGTGGATGCGCACTGATGATGAGTCACAAATGTAGTAGAAACGGCCGTCCAGTGCTTTCTGCATTCTGGTAAGGTTCAAGACTCGATGAATTACTCAATTATATATATATATATATATATATATATATATATATATATATATATATATATATATATATTGAGAGAGAGTAATGATACAATATTTAGTCCGTATGGATTTTGTAGGAGGATAGCTATGTCAAAAGACAGAGCAAAATTAGTATTAATTAAAGAATATCAAACACTTACCATAGGTAATGATTTTTATTTCATGAAAAGTTCAATCTTCATGACCTACAAACAAATCACAAATGAATGGAAAAAATAAAATAAAATTTTCCTAGTTAAATTCACGAGATACTGCTATTTTATTTAGAATGTTTGAAAAAGGCAGGGAGAGTTGATCTAATCTGATGTACTTACCTCAGAATGGTGGAAAGGTTTGAGGATAAGGGAGGTACTTAAACTGTAATTAGTTTGTTCAGTGTGAACAATCCAGTTTGTTTCTGTCATCATCCAAATTTCAATGGGGATATTATTCATTCAACAAATTATTTGTAGATGATATTAAAAGAGGCCATTTTGAAAGATTTCGAAACTATTAGAAAATACCCGTGTACAATGCAAGCGGTTACTAAAAATGCATGATTTTAATATCTTCAAAAACTATCCTTGCATATTACGCACCGTCTATGTCTTGCCTAAAAAAAAAAAAGAAAAAAAAACTTACACTCTGCTCGAGGATATACGGTATTTCATTAATATTCTTCAAAATTCATTTCTGTTTTAAAACCCAATGTTCAAAGTTTCCCGTTTCATTTTCATTCGTTCTTTCTTAGATTTATTTATCTTCTTTATTTTATCCTTTTAATCTAATTCTTTTTTCCTATTGTCATATTTTCATATTACATCTACATTACGATTTTTCTTTTATGTCATTTTTTTGTGTTTACTTTCATCTTCATTGTTTTGCCTTCATTTTTCATTGTTTTAAACTTTTTCATTCTTTATGTTTTACACGCCTTCATTTTTTTTTTATTTTCGTCTTTCTTTCATTCTTTGCAAATATTTTTCTCGTATTCTTTGATCTCACGTTTCGGACATTTTTTATCTTATTTCTTGTGATTTTTTTGTCATAATTTTTGTTCTCAGGTTTTGTTCTTATTGTCGTTTTTATGTTTTTTGGCCTTATTTTTTTTTGTTATTTCTTTGATCCAAATTTTTGGTCTTATATTTTGGTTTCATTGTTTTGGTCTTATTTTTCGTCCTATTTTTTAGGTCTTATTTTTGGTGGTCATGTATGTAGGTCTTATTTTGTGTCTTATTTTTTCCTCTTTTTTTCTTTTTTTTAATAACCAATATTTTTCATGTGCAATTTTCCTTCAACATCCTTCTTTGAGTTTTCCTTCTTTTTCCGTCACATTCTTTTTGCCCTATCATTTAATTGGATTTCTACAATTTCCTTCTTCTTTTATATCATTCATACTTTCTTTTCAATGTTTTTTTGGCCTTTTACATTCTTTTTTATACTCTCATTTTATTAGATTTTTTTCCCCATTTTTTTAATATTTTGCAACTAGACTTCGTCTTTCCTTTTCTTATTCTTTTCCTTCCTATGTTTTCTTTCATTCATATCTTTAGTTTTTGATTATAATCTTTTCGTTTCAATATATTCCATTATTATTTTTACTGTTTTTTCTTCACTTTTAATACCGCTATTATACTGCCATTCTTTCGTTTATCTTCTATATTCAGCCCTGTTTTTATATTAACCTCTTTTTTAAAAGTGTTGATATAATTTTTTTTTCTTAATATTACATAAACTTTCCATTTTCTGTCTTTCGTTTCTTTTCCCATGTAACATTCATCTTTCTTCCTTTCAGCCATTTATATGTTCTTTCAGTTTTCATTATTTTCCTTTCTTTCTTTCTTTTTTCTTTCATTCTTTCGTTCTTTCTTTCTTTCTTTCTTTCAGTTTTTCGTTCTTTCTTTCTTTCTTTCATTTTTTCGTTCTTTCTTTCTTTCTTTCTTTCATTCTTTTTTTCTTTCGTTTTTTCTTTCTTTCATTCTTTCGTTCTTTTTTCTTTCATTTTTTCGTTCTTTCTTTCATTTTTTCGTTCTTTCTTTCTTTCTTTCTTTCATTCTTTCTTTCGTTCTTTCTTTCTTTTTTCTTTCATTTTTTCGTTCTTTCTTTCATTCTTTCTTTCTTTCATTTTTTGTTCTTTCTTTCTTTTTTCAGTTTTTCGTTCTTTCTTTCTTTCTTTCTTTCTTTCTTTCTTTCTTTCTTTCTTTCATTTTTTCGTTCTTTTTTCTTTCATTTTTTCGTTCTTTCTTTCATTCTTTCTTTCTTTCGTTCTTTCTTTCTTTCTTTTTTTCTTTCATTTTTTGTTCTTTCTTTCATTATTTCTTTCATTTTTTCGTTCTTTCTTTCTTTCATATTCCTTCCTTTTATTCATAATTTCCTCTTTATATCTATTTATTTTTCTTACATTCCTCTTTATTTTGCATATTTTTTCTCTTCTCTCTGATTTCTGCTCCTGTCTTTCATTTTCCTCCATTTTTTTCTGATTTCCTTCAAACATCTATTTCTCTTTCGTGTCCTTTCTCTCCATCTTGTTCCATTACTTTTCCTTACATCTGTTATTTGGTTCCCTCTTACCCACCTCAATATTTGTTCTATTACTGCATTGTTTTCTATTAATTATTCTTTCTCTTTTCACTATAGCGTTCCATTTCTCCTCCCCTCTTCCTTCGTCTCACCCTTCTTCCCATCCAAATCCAGTCACCAAACAAATAGCTATTCTATTTGATTTCTCTCGATTTGCTTTGACTCCTCTCATTATGCCATTTACTTATTTATTACCTTACATCGTCCATTAGCCTACGGCTGACACCTCAGCGATCCCTGAGGTCCCTTCATTTCTGATTCTGTAAACCCGCCATGTGACATACTGCTCACTTCCAAAGTCCAGTATGTGTTACACACACACACACACACAAACACACACACACACACACACACACACACACACACACACACACATATATATATATATATATATATATATATATATATATATATATATATATATATATATGCATTTGCATGACTCATCCTTCCTTGACTCTCGGTTGCCGGCAGAGATGCGTGTGCAAAACATTCATCATGGAAATCACTCCCGCTGAAATCTTTCCTCTGAACGCTTAGCGGAGGAAAATGATCTCAATTCAGTCCAGGTTAACACATATGCGTGTAAAAGTTATAAACTTTGAACGTAGGTTTTTTTTTTTTTTCGTTTTTAATTTATTATATTTAGGTACATGTCACTCTGCCTAATATCAGTAAACAAATTTGATATCGTCAATTTTGCTCTAAATACAGAATTCCGGTTTATATGTCTTTTGGGTTTGTGTATTTTATATATATATATATATATATATATATATATATATATATATATATATATATATATGATACTAATTTTTTTATGTATCATATGACATAAATTTGTTGTAAGTATTATATGAAATTATAAATATATTTGTAATACTACTTAAATACACTTGTACTTTTACAACTTCATGGTAAATGGTTTTATTATGTTACACGGGAAAATAGGAGTAGATAGGTTTGCCTATCTTCCGGATCACACTCGTTTTTGTACAGGATTAGGAGTTTATCCTTTGTTGTCTATTTATGTTCATGACTGGTCTCCTTCATTCCCAGTAGTCCCTGGTGTCTGAGTGGAATTATCGCCTTGCTTGGGGTGAATTGACAAAAAAAATACGTGATTATGAGTATCACTTTCATTGTTGATGCATTTAAACCACTGGTGAAAAGGAAAGATTTAGGTTGTATATTTTAATTTGGACACTTCTATCTTATATTCAGCGAATAAATGCATGTTATTTCTTCTTCTATAACACTTTCTCTCTCTCTTTCTCTCTCTCTCTCTCTCTCTCTCTCTCTCTCTCTCTCTTTCACACATATACATACGGTTGCACACACACATAGATATATACATATAAGTATATATATAAAAGTGCACATTGAGGTCAACATATGTATGAAGGCTGTGGCAAAATGATCTTATATATTTGTAGATTTAATAAAAGCAAAATAGAGTAAATAACGAAAAATGGCTTTTTCTTTTCGAAATGTCCATATAATGCCATTTTGTGTCAAAAATGAAGTCAGCCAAGCGGGTACCGTTATTTTCTACTCACCGTCGAAGTCGTTCGCGAAAGTTGTCCATAGCACGACGTGTCATTTCAAGAGGAATGGCAGCAATTTCTTGACGAATGTCATCTTTAAATTGTTCAGTAGATCGAGGGTGATGAGAGTATGCCATTGATTTCAGATATACCCACAGGAAAAAAATCGCTTGGGTTCGAATCACGCGATAATCGGGTCATCGGTCTCTGTGTTGCATTTACCAATTCGTTGTTTCTGGATAAACATTTCCATAATGAAAGCGCGATGCTCGACCAACAAATTCATGTTGGCAACTGAAAATGAAATGAAACAAAATGGCGTTATATGTAAATTTCGAGAATAGTTGCTCTTTACTTTATTTTAATTTTATTAAACCAATAAATGTTTCATAATATGTGCGTGTGTGTATGTGTGTACGTATATATTTATATATATATATATATATATATATTTATAATTATTTTTTATAAAAAAAAATTATAACATAAGTATGTTATAAAATCACTACAAAAATAGCCATGTGCCTGTGTCTTATCAAGTGATGATGTTGAAGATAAAATAAATGGTTTTAAAAGTTTCAGATTAATTAACGATCCTATTCAAGGGGGAAACATTGTTACAAAAGCTAGAATAACCAATCAAAAACCAAGTATAGAATGATTCAAAAGCTTGACAACGAAATCATGTTATAATAGCTATTCAGATCTTTTAAAATAGGTGTAATATTAAAAATAATTTATACTAACCAATAATTATAAAATTATATGATAAAATTTAATATTAAAATTATTGGAATTCATTCCGTATATACCAATTATATACTTGTATATATATATATATATATATATATATATATATATATATATATATATATATATATATATATGGTGAAGGATGAATTGAATTCCAGATATGCAGTCGCGAATATTTTGTCATATAAGACCTTTCGTAATATTTCGTCAATTATTTTTTCTGTAAAAATCTCCACAAGCTACTTGCTACTTCCTTGGCTACGTAAGAAAATGACCCCACCATCGCAAAAAGTTGTTTTTATTTCTTTGTTTTTAAAAGATAAAAAAAAAAAATTGATTACATCTTATTCACAATTTATCAATTTAACACTTTCTGTTTTAACGAAACTTAGACATTTTTATTTTATTTAAAAAAAAAAATTGAAATAATTCTCCAAATCGTTTGATGAAAAGTGTCAGAAAATGGCGCTGATTGATACACCTGACTTAACGTAACATTCTGTCACTTCCTGAAAATTCGTAATTTTGACGTAATTACGAATTTTCAGGAAGTGACAAAATATTACGCTAGTCAGTATATGTGAAAATATTCGCGACTGCATGCCCTGGAACCTAGTCACTCTTCACCACTGATATATATATATATATATATATATATATATATATATATATATATATATATATATATATATATTGAACATTGAAGTCAACACTCAGGCCACCTGACGACGCATGAAACAGCCTGTCGCCTCTGTGTGTTGACTTCAACGTACATTGTTATTTTTACATATGCTCTATCTATGATATTTGTCACTTTATGTCATAAATATAGCACATCTTCAATCGAACGATCCTTTGTGGCCGAGCGATTAGGCACGTCAAACTAAATGACGGTTCCGTATAGGATGCAGGTTTGAATCCTGTCAAAGGACGAATATTTTCTATGAAAATTTCTCGGACATTCCGGCCGGTAAATGTTATTAAATCCTGTTGATTATAGATCATTATAGAGCATTTACTAAAATATTTGTATCTATAAAAAGAATGTTAAACATGAAAATGCCTTTAAAATATATATATATATATATATATATATATATATATATATATATATATATATACTATAAAACCCATAAACTCGTCGGGTTTCTTTTTAAAGTAGTTCATGATAAAAATGATGAGGTAATAATATTATCACTTTTATTATCAATTTGAATATGCATGAAACAGAAGCTTTATTGTTTCCTCAGGTTGACAGTTATGACATTGCATGAAAATATGGAGTAATAGCTTCAAATAGGGGTAGACTTATTCTGGATAATAGGTATATTTTTAGAAGATATTTGTTAATAATTATTTTCCAGGCTTAAAATGAATGAAAACCAAACAAATACCTTAATGCAAATATATCTTGATTTAAAGTACGAATTTTTATTATTTTTTTATATCAAAAAATACACAGTTTATCATATACATTAAAAGATAAATTTCTTCCATGTAACTTTGAATAGAAAATTAATAATTAGTACTAAAGAGTGTAAAAGAAGGTTAACTACTCCATTGGGTTTCAGAGTTAAGCCACTGGGTGAAATTTTGTTATAATAGCTTAAAATTGGCAAAGTATTTTTCATAAGTTTATCTTTATTATATTACTTGTTTCTTCCTGGAAATTATTTCAATATCCGTAACAGAAGCAGAGCAGCATGCAACTATTTAATTATTTACCATCAATTCATTTGAAACCTATAACCGCAAAAACAGAAGAACGACACTAGATATTGAAACGCTTATGTAATTTTAATTAAATATGGCACTACACTCAGCAAGGGTAAACCATACACTATGCTTCTTAATTTGTTAGGGTACTAGGCCGTTATATTCAGGCTGTATCTCAGGAAAACATATACATATTTACAAGATTAGAATTATATGCAGGCTGTATCAAAAATACTTTTAGAAACATTAGAAGCATGTTCCACACACCAAAACAAGGACAAAAGTTCATATAAATATATGTGCGCAAATTCATCTTTTTTGAGTTATTAAGTTTAACGGACTTTTACGGTGGATGGCTCTCTGTTGTCATTAGACTAGGTTACATTTGTCATTCGTGTAGATTTGTGGCTAGTCTGTTTTCAACGTTTGACCGGTATAGAAGCAAGTAGAATGGGAAGTTTTCTGTTTAATAATGGCAGAATATTTATATCGTGGGGAGGCAGATACGAGATTTACATACGACCGTGTGAATCGTAATGAAGGCGAGGCTGCACTGCTGTATCCGATGGCGTTTTCAACGCGAAGGCAGCCGACTCATCCAAATTCTGCTGCTGTTTATCGTTGCGTTACTAAGACAGGATCCGTGGTAACACAAACTATGGACCGTTTCATTGTATAACATAGATATATTACATCACCTTATTTTTACACTGATCATTTCTTCTTGTCTAATTCTTGAAGTTAAGATGAAATTCATCAAAGAAGGCAATGTTGGTTTTTTTTTGTTTTTAAATTTAAGTACTTTCGATGATTGCTATCATCATCTACAGTGGTAAATTTGAAAGACATAAGTTATTGTACCTGCGATAAAATTAGTTATAGGTATTTTTTAATTTAAAATTTATCCGTTGTAGTTATGGAATTTGTTCGAAAACGAGTTTTTCAATATAAGGAAACTGAAAATGTCATTATATATATATATATATATATATATATATATTTCAAACTTTGAAAGTAAAGTCTGATGATCCAGAACCCTTTAAAAGGGCTGTGGTGAAATAATTTATTACATGGAACCTTAAAGTGGTCTGAAGTCTCTGAATTTACATTGAGCTCTCCGGATATCATCCTCCTTGGCTATACCCATACGGATTACCTAGTTTTGCATAAACTATATATATATATATATATATATA